ATTGGGGATTGATCGGTGGGGATTGAGGGGGGAATCAATGGTAGATCAATAGGGGGCCTATAGGGGATTGATTGGGGATTGATCGGTGGGGATTGAGTGGGGATTGAGGGGGGATTGATACCGATCAATAGGGGGCCTATCGGGGATTGAGGGGGAATTGATCAAGAATTGATCAGAGATTGAGGGGGGATTGATACCAGATCAATAGGGGGCCTATCAGGGACCTATTGGGGATTGATCGGTGGGGATTGAGGGGGGAATCAATGGTAGATCAATAGGGGGCCTATAGGGGATTGATTGGGGATTGATCGGTGGGGATTGAGTGGGGATTGAGGGGGGATTGATACCGATCAATAGGGGGCCTATCGGGGATTGAGGGGGAATTGATCAAGAATTGATCAGAGATTGAGGGGGGATTGATACCAGATCAATAGGGGGCCTATCAGGGACCTATTGGGGATTGATCGGTGGGGATTGAGGGGGGAATCAATGGTAGATCAATAGGGGGCCTATAGGGGATTGATTGGGGATTGATCATTGGAGATTGATCGGGGACCAAGGGGGGATTGATACTGGATCAATAGGGGGCCTATCAGGGACCTATTGGGGATTGATCAATGGGAATTGATCAGGGATCTAGGGGGGATTGAGGGGGGATCCATGGCGGATCAATAGGGGCCGATCAGGGATTCATTGATGGGGATTGATCGGGGATCGAGGGGAGATCAATAGGGGACTTATCGGGAATTGATCAATGGGGATTGATTGGGGATTGAGGGAGGATTGATAATGCATCAGTAGGGGACCTATAGAAGATTGATCAAGGATCGATTGAGGGGGATGGAGACGAAATTGATTAGTGATTGAGGGGGGATCGATACCAGATCTATAGGGGACCTATAGGGGATTGATTGATGTGGAATGATTGTGGATTGATTTGGGATTGAGAGGGGATCAATACCAGATCAATAGGGGACCTATAGGGGATTGATTGGGGATTGAGGGCGGATTGATCAGGCATTGATCAGGGAATGATGGGAGATTGAGGGGGAATAGACTGAGGATTGAGGGGGGATTGATACTGGATCAATAGGGGACCTATAGGAGATTGATTGATGTGGATTGATTTGGGATTGAGAGGGGATCAATACCGGATCAATAGAGGATTGATTGATGGGTGTTGATCAGGGACTGATCAGGGATCATGGGGCGATTGATCAGAGATCAATAGGGGATCTGTAGGGGATCGATTGGGGATTGATGGGGGATTGATTGGAGATTGATTGGGGGTCGAGGGGGGATCGATACTGAATCAATAGGGGACCTATAGGGGATTGAGGGGGTTTGGTACTGGATCGATAGGGGATGGATTGATTGATTGATTGATTGATTGATGGGGGACTGATGGGGGATTGATGGGGGATTGATCGGGGATCGATACCGGATCAATAGGGGTTTGATCGATGGGGATTGATTGGGGATTGATCGATGGGGGATCGATCGGGTTCCATGGGGGTCTCTATAGGGTTCTAGAGTATTCCATATGGTCTCTGTGGGGTTCCATGGAGTTCTATGGGGTTCCCGTGGGTTCTAGAAGGTTCTAGAGATTTCTGTAGGGTTCCCATGGGGTTCCATGGAGTCTCCAGAAAGTTCCATAGGGTTCTAGAAGGTTCTATAGGATTCCATATGGTCTCTCTGGGGTTCCATGGAGTCTCCAGAAGGTTCTGTAGGGTTCTAGAAGGTTCTGTAGGTTTCTATAGGGTTCCCATAGGGTTCCATGGGGTTCTGTAGGATTCCAGAAGTTTCTATAGGATTCCATACGGTCTCTGTGGGGTTCCAGGGAGTCTCCAGAAGGTTCCGTGGTGTTCTGTATGGCTCTGTAGGATTCTAGAATGTTCTATAGGGTTCCCATGGGGTTCCATGGAGTCTCCAGAAGGTTCCATAGGGTTCTAGAAGGTTCTATAGGATTCCAT